TATATATATATATATATATATATATATATATATATAAAAGATAGCGGTTTTGAATGAAACAACACGTCTACAAGGAATTGGTGCCACCCTTGGATTTTGGCGGGAAAATAACGGTAGGATCCTTGGACCCTACTAGGGGCGTTGCCCCTAAATCCCACAAGCGGTGATGTCCCCTTGGAACCACACCAGGGAAGTTGCCCCAGACCCCGTGCTTCCGAGTTCTTGTTAGCTATCTAAGTGTACATTCAACACCTACAATCTTGGAATATAGCCAAAGGGAACTCAACTTGTCTCGAATGAAATCCTCACTACACTTGATGACATTAAAATCACAAACATTTATTATAATATAGAAAAAATGGCTATTGGCTTCTTCTCAACCAAAATTTTTTACATTAATGAAATGAAATCATTTAAATAGGTAATTAAACTTGGACCATTAACCTAAAAAAATCGAAATTTCACATATAATTTGTGATTAGATAATATGACTAAGCCAAAGTAAACCACCAGATTTTTTTTTCACATGTAATATGTGAGAATATATCTTTTAGTCATGTAATGTAACAAAGTTTTATAAAAATGTGATAAAACAAAGTGAAGTTTGTTTTATTAAATATCTAAAAAGTATGTATGTTCAACGCATTGATCAATGATGTAAATACACTGCATTTATTTATAATAAACCTTTAACTATATTTAAAGATAGAAATACATATATACAGTTGAATTTAATACACAACTTTATATGTTTTCAGTTTACGAGGTTCAAATGCGGAGGACTCTCAGTTGGATTAAGTTGGTCTCACATCCTTGGAGATGCATTATTCGCTTCAACCTTCATGAACTTGTGGTCTAAGGTCATTAAAGGAGAAACATTATCTCAGATTCCCATCACTATAAACACAAACAATACGAAAATACCGGTTCAAGAAAAAACATATTCTTTTAGAGGTGTTGATCTTGTTGAAAACCTTTGGTGTAATGCCAACAATACCAAAATGGTTACATTTTCCCTTCATATTTCATCAAAAATTGTTGACCGGATAACTTCAAATACCAATGCCAAGCCTTTCGAAGCACTTAGTGCCATCATATGGAAGTCATTAGCTAAGATAAGAGAGCAACTTGATCCCAAGATTGTGACCTTATGTACATATGGTTCTCCAAAGAATGAAATTAAAGCTCAAAGGAACAGTCATTTTGTGAGTAGGGTTGTTGTTGATTTTACGGTTTTGGAGACTAAGGTTACAGATTTAGCACAAATGATCACTAATAAGACACTAAATGATAGTGTCTTGATTGAGGACTTTGTGGATGGAGAAAATAAGAACTCTGATGTTACATTTTATGGGGAAACTTTGACATTTGTGAATATACAAGGGGCTAATTTGTATGGATTTGAACTAAAAGGGCACAAATCGGTTTTTGTAAACTATATGATGGCAGGGAGTGGGGATGAAGGAGTCATATTAGTTCTTCAAGGTCCGGAAAACTGCAACGGGGTATTAGTGACGATGACATTACCAAGTGGTGAGGTTATAAGTTTAAAGAATGAACTTAAAAATGAATGGTATATCATATGACTAAATGTCAATGACAAAGCATAGTTTGAGCATTCTAGTTTGATACACAAGTAGAAACACGAGTGGATATGGTTTTTTATTTATTTCTTTTTGGGTTTCGTTAGCAATCTATACGGAAAGAAAAACATGCACTGGTATAAGAGTGAAAATTATGTAACAGCCAAAGTTATGCCAGACAATTAAAAATATGTAACAATTATATATGAAAATAAATATATTTAAGTTGATTAATTTCACGTAGATATCAAAATAATTTGATGATTCATGTCCAATTAAAGAAGAGGTTTGTCAGCAAGTTGTTTATGATCATTCGTAACATATAACAACTTGTAATTTTTTTAAAGATAAGAAAATAGTAACATAATAAATATGTCCATATAAACCGTTAAGATACAACAAGAATGCAAATTACACTTTATGTTAACTCAACCACATTTTCTCATATATCATCATTTTTTCGAATATAGTATTGTCCAACAAGCGTTAAAGTTCCCCCAAAAGGACTTGAACGTCCCGTTTCGAATACATATGTCCTTCCTTGTCCTACTTAGATCTACTACATGTTTATATACACACACACACACACACACATATA